AGAACAACTCTAGCTCATGCCACCTGTGGAGGTTCTTCTCTGATTACTGTTCATTATACAGTAATGCTTTTTTCTTGTGTGGATGCAGTTGCATTATAAGTAATGGGATGAACTAATAAATGTAGCTACAATGCTTTATTTCATTCTTTGTCCATTGCTTATTTTTTTTATTGCATGTTTCTTTGGAACTTCTCATTTCAGATTGTTCAGTTGTATTATTGAACGGTTTACTATTTGTTACCTAGACTCAATGGAAAAACGTGCCTGTGGCAACATTTCTGCAAAATTATATTACATTACGGCGTGCATGGTTCGTGACACTGCCAAAGTGAAATGTCCAAAAACAGATGAACCTGAATGCAGTCATATTTTATTACATTGGTTGTTATACGTATCATGGCAGTTCAGAAATGAAATGTCCGGCGAGTGATGTTAAACTGTAAGTGCTCTCTTTATCGCCTTTGAAAATAATGTAACAACCAACACATAATAGTGTTGACAAAAGCACATGTGAGATAAAAACACATTTGGCAACTGTCATTTTAGCTTGCTTTTACAAGTCTTTGATCTTTTTATAGTTTTACAGGACTTCACATCACAAGTGCATTGCTGTACCAGGTCAGCTACCGAGCAAGTTTACTATGTCAGAAATGTCATACATATGAAGCTGGTCTTAACATAGTATTGTTATACTGTTATACTGTTTTACAGTTAACAAACAAAATTACCTTATGAGAGAGAATGTTAGAGGCATAATACAGCTAACCAAATATTGTAATCTGACTAGTTCATAAAATAATAACACTTATTAAACTTTTAAATTATATTAATCTCAAATCAATATTTTATTCAATTCATATTTTAATTTGCTAAGTAGTTGTCTAGGTGGCATAATATACATTCAGACAGTCATGATCACAACATAAACCTGATGACACAAAGCAAGGGCGGGGTCTTGAATTACTCTGGGTTTATTTTGTGATAATTACTGGCTGACTACATCACTTTAAATTCTGAGTAGCTTTGTAACACTATACAGGATAGATTTTTAAAGTAGCTTCCCTGACATAACACTGTGAAGAATATTTAACAGGACATTTGCAGGTAGAGAAAAAGTTCAATGCAGCATCAATAGACTATTTAACAAAAGAGAGCTTATTGAACGTGTTGCATCTGTGCTTGACACTATAGTGGTGTACTCATTTCTGAGGAGATCAGTTACATTTACAGTTGGGTAACAATGGCTTACTGAATGGATTTAACCAGTGACTTAGTGAATATGTTTCGGACACAGAAGAATAAGCATAAATATACATGACAACTCAGTCTTGATATATTCCCTTTTTCTCTCTTGTCTTTGTCTAGCCATCCATTTCATTCCATCCTACTCAGCCTCAAGCTTTTTTCTTTTCTTTTGAGCATGGACTTTTAAGAATCTGAGAATTGCATTATCTATATTTCATCATAAGGATGTCTCATTTACATTCTTTTAATGATCTGCCCTCACTTGGATCAATGAGACGTGTTTTGTGTTATTATTGGATTATGAACATAGCTGCATGTTGCTAATGCTGTTCATTAGGTGGCATGTTGAGCTCATTTATCTTCACTGGGATTTCTACTGCTTGACACTCAATAGAATGAGGAAATATATGCCTACTCTCAGAATGAATTACCTTTTACATATCACTGTGGATTGCGCATTGCTTACTCTTTCCAAAACATGCCCCATTTATGTGGATGATGCTGATGCCGTTGTAGCTGTGGTTGTTTTATCAAGAGACTTGTTGCTTACAGAGAATGTTCTAGTGTTTCATGAATCCATTCAGCTAAATCCTCTGTGTAAAAGAGCCTAATTTCCATTAGGTTGTCCTCCACCAAATGGTGGAAAGGCCTAATTAATAAGCTTGCAGCAATTTGAAAGTGCTACAAGAAAGTGGCCCTCTCAATTAAAAAAGAAGCACTTCAACAATCATGTTCTGTGCTTTTCCGGTTTGATTTGCTCATATAACAAAACCAAATGACACCACGAAATTCTATTTTTGAAATTTTAATACAATATAAGCAGATCTTGTGCAAGCTAATGAGAAATTCTACAGTTATGGCCTTTGGACTGGCGCAATTATACATTGAGCAATGCAGCACGACCGGTCTAGAGATATGCAAACAACATAAATATACCTTCAGTTCTGCCAAGTATTAACAACCAGCAAAGATAACAGGAATCAGACTCTTTTGATCAATAATAAATAATAAAGAAAAAAAAAGTCAAAATAACTGTGCAGATCACTCCACAAAAATGTATAAGCTTTGCATCAAAAAAATTAACAAATCCAGAAGTTAGACTGAATATTCTGCTAACTAGCTGGTACCATGATTTCAAATACAGCATCAATTCAGAACTCTTTCAATGCAGTCCTTATGGGTTTTATGGTGAGTGCATAGAGCAGTTCAGGTTGTAGTCCAAAAGTATGTATTTTTTTGTGTGTTTTTAAAGGGATAGTTCACCCAAAAATGGAAATTCTGTCATAATTCACTCACCCTCGTGTTGTTCCAAACCTGTATGGCTCTCTTTCTTCTCTTGAACACAAAACAAGATATGTTGAAGAATGTTTTTAAACAAACAGTTGACTTCTATATAATATGGGGGGGAATGTCTACCCTCAACTGTTTGGTAACCAACATTCTTCAAAATGTGTGTTCATCAACATGAGGGTGAGTAAATGATAGCACAATTTTTCATTTTTGGGTAAACTGTCCCTTTAACGCATACTATTTTAAAACAGCAGTTCTCAATTCTGGTCTTGATGCATTTTTATATGTCTCTTTGTTATTTACAAAGGTATATGTCATCATACTGTACCTACTACTGAATTTTCATCTGTGTGTGATGATGTTGCAGGGTGGTCCAAATGAATGTATTGTGTCAAGTGAACATGCTCAGGGAATATGGAGCAGTGAACACTGCATTGGGACCCAGCTCAGTTCATGGAGCATGAAAATTGGAATTGAGGACCTCTGTTTTAAGATATATGACCATGAAAAATGTATTCTGTAGAACAGGGCTAGTCCGGTACTGGAGGGCCAGTGATCTGCATAGTTTACTTCCAACCCTTATCCAAATATGTTTAAATAGTCCTGAATACTTTGATTAGCTTGGTCAGGTGTGTTTAATTAGGGTTGGAACTAAACTCTGGGTTGAACAGCGCTGTTGTAGAACAAAAAGTGGATATCTGTTCTGTTAACCATGGACCCACAAACTGATGCCTAAACAAGACCATGTATTTAATTTGAACAATTATAAACAAAACAGATTATATTTTTGCAGATGTTTACTGTCTTGTGGTTTCTTATAAACACCTTTTTATATCTTTCTTAAAAATGCAACACAAACACAAACACAATTTCACTAAAACCACTTATCATCAACAAAATTACAGCTCAGTACATTTGACAGTATCATAACAATAAAACAATTGACCCAGTGAGCTAGTACAACTAGAAAATATCCAGAGGCAAGGCATCAAAAACACTTACTCTTGAGTTGTGAGTCATCTAGTAGGCCTTTGCTATTTTTGGTTAGACCAAAATCAATCCAGTTAATTGACTCAAATGACATACTGCAATCAAAATTCACCAAGCACTTATGAGGAATGTTCAGGTTACCTCTTAAATGACGCAAAATCATATTTTGATATTTTAAATGGAATTTAACTAAACGGAGCTGCAAACCACAATGAAATAATAAAATGTACATATCTACGGACATTCCTTACTTGGCTGTAAAAGCACAGTGATTAAAAAAAAAACTTGCTGTTTTGGTAGGAATATAAGATATAAAGCTGATCAAACTGCATTCATTACAGATCAAAATCAAGACATTCAGAAATGATTGTAGGGTCGAAGAACTGCAATGTTACGTTCAACTAATACACATAAAGTCAGTATATATAATATTTATCTCAATATACAGTATATATATCAGGAACTCCAGAGAAAAGCTTCTTGTGAATTTTGACCTTGCTTCTGGACACAATATTTTATGTAAAGGCAGATCCAAGCCACTTTAATGTAATTTGATGTGACATTTAATGGATCATTATTCCAACACTCTTAAAAGGCAATTTATTCTGTTTCTTCAGCAGGGTTTACCTTCCGCTTTAAGTAAACCTTATTGGGAATGTCCTGAAATGGCGGATTTTAGATGTCTGTCTGTACACCTCTTCACTGTAATTGAACAAAGAATGGCAACATTAGAAGTTTGTTCAGGGGCTACAGTAATGGAGTAAGTTGGAGATGAGGCCACAGTTGATGCAGAGTTTGGTATCATGAGCTGGTCTTCAGCAATAATGGCAAATAATCCATCAATATTTATTTTTCCAGAATTTATTTTTCCACTAGGCTCAGGTTCAAACCACATATTCTCTGGTCTGTATGTCATAACATACCACCTTTCTTCACTTTTCTCCAACCTGACAGCAGTCTGTTCTGGGGCAAGACATATTTTCCCATCATTCCCTTGGAGTTTCCATCAATAGGGTTTACGACATTTGAGCAGAGTTTTTACATCTATTTCCAATGTTTGTTTGAGTTTTTTTTCTATTTCCCCAAGGCTTGTCCGCTTCCAGTCCAATATCTGAGAGATTTCTGAGCCTGTTTCCTCTGAATGGAACCCATCTTCACTATTTGCTTTTGTAGCCTATCTCGGATTTCATTTTTGATTGTAACAGCAGCTATTTTCACTCACAGGGAATTTAATCATTCATTGTTTGCAGACTTTCTGTGAATGGTCCTTCATTCAGATTTTTGGGTTATGTCCTCAAAACCAGTAAGATTTCAGACCCTGAAAATCCACCTGCACATGAAAGTCTGATAAGTTACCCTGTTTTGGACATTGGGCTCAGAAGAGGCTCATCACTGTGTTAGCATTTCTTCCGAAAGAAATACTGTGGCCAATCCACAATACAAAGTAAAAAAAAAATAAAAATGGTGCAGGAGAGGAGCTGAAAACTCAGTTTCTCTGGTTATCTTCTGAATATGCAAAACTTGAGACAGTATTGAGTACGGTGGAGCTGAATGCTTTGCAAAATATAAGAAGTGGCTCTTCCATTCTTTTACTAGAATTCAGTAGTGGAGATTTGAGTGACCTCAGATTGCAGGTCCTGCTGAACTCTTCTGGATTGGGACCCCCGTGGGATCCTCTCCAGGCCTAGTCATACTGGCTTCTTTCCTGTCTCCGAAGGTGCACAAACTGACACTGGCTCCCTTGTGGCATTCCTCACTCGGTTAAGGCTATTCTGGTCAGCTCTGGTTCGGAAGGGTGGGCAGAAATCTCGGAAGCATCTCTTGAAATTCTCATCCAGGAAAGCGTAGAGGACAGGATTGAGGCTGCTGTTGGTATAGCCGAGTGCGATACACAGGTGCCAACTGGCAATCACAAAGGGGCTCTTCTGGTTGACGTCTACAAGTGTTTTGACAATGATGAAGATGTGGATAGGTGTCCAGCAGATAATGAAGGCAGCCACCACTACCAAGACCATTCGAGTGATTCTACGCATGCTTCTGTCCTTCTCCTTAGAGCCTGAGAGAAGACGGACACTTCTCAAACGTAGGATCATCAGACCATAGCAGATCGTGATGACTAGCACTGGTACCACAAATGCAAAGATAAATACACAAATCTTTGTCACTGTGTCCCAGTACCAGTCTGGATCAGGGAACTTCAGCATGCAGACAGTTGCACCTGTTATGGAATACATTTAAACAGTTCTAGAATCAGAATCAGAATTATAATTAGATTTTAAAGAAGGTTAACTTTTCAGTGCTTGGTTTTATCAAGACACATCTTCCAACAAATACAACTTGCTTTCAAATACATACCCACCTTGGTTTGTCACTCTGGTAACTGCCATTATCATGATTGGCACTCCAACAGCAGAGGAAAGAATCCAGATGCACACATTGATGATTTTAGCGTTGATGGGGGTACGAAACTCCAGCGCTCTCACAGGGTGGCACACGGCAATGTAACGGTCCACACTCATCATAGTGAGGGTGAAGATACTGGTAAACATGTTATAGTAGTCAATAGCTATGATGATTTTACATAGAAGCTCACCAAAAGGCCAGGTGTTCATAAGATACTTGGCGCTCTGGAATGGAAGTGTACTAGTGGCCAGAGCATCTGCCAGTGCCAAATTGAAGATGTAGATATTGGTGGCAGTTTTCAGCTTTGTGTATCTGCAGACACAGAAACAACAGAGCAGTTTGTTAGGACACATGTATAGGTTGGCTAACGTGGTCTTATACTTTGCAGTTTATAAAATTGGCATGGCACAGTGGCTAAGTGGGTAGAACTGTCGACTCACAGCAAGAAAGTCCTTGTTTCGGGTACCAGCTGAGCTAGGTTGTATGTTCTCCCTTTGTCTGTGAGGAGAACATGAAAATCTGTCTCAAATCACCAGGTGCTCTGGTTTCCCTCACAAACCCTGTCTGTGAGGATAGGCTGATAGGCCTGCAGAGAATAGATAGCAGCTAAACGTGGTAGTACTAATTTTCACCTCAAAAACAGTTAGTCTTCGAAAGTTTGTTTAGTAGTTGGGTAAATTCAATGTCTCCAATTCATTCTTATTTTGCAAGACCTGCTGCCTTTGAAACACCAGACCCTTCTGTACATGGTCTATAAACTCGACATAACTGGAACCACACTTTTAGGTAGGTTTTAGGTTAGGTCCAACTTATTTTAGAGAAAAGGAGATCACATCAGCTAACCATGGGGTACCTCAAGGATCAGTGCATGGCTCTTTCTGTTCTCACTATTCAGAAACTCACTGGGCAGAATAATTCAGAACACTAATGCCATTCACATCTGGCAGGAACCAAAGGTTAGTGAGCTGAATATTTTTTCAGCTGATTTTTGAGCTGGCATTTGATCAGTTTTCTTTCTTTACTACCTATTTTAATTCTTGTGACTCGATCCCTGGAAACATCAACTAGGCAAGTACACATAGTACACATGTTGCATGTCTTAGAGTCTCTACTAACAAACTAAAGAGTTCAATCTGGTCTTTTTGATTAGGAAGAGTTCAAAAAGTGTACTGTTGGTGTGTCTTCAAGAACAGGGTTGGAAAAAACTGGGATATTCTGTGTGGCCTGAAAGTGTCCGAGAACCCTTATGGACTTTGGTCCAATTGTTCTCAACTTGTACATTATGAAATTGTTAACCACAACTGAGGCATCTAACCCCCAATTGCTCCCTAGGCATTGTATCAAAAATGGTTGCCAGCTGCAGTGAGTGTTCTCTACTCAATGCTGTGTGTGCACTTTGATGGGTTAAATGCAGAGGACTTTATTGTCGAGTTCATGTAAGTCTAGTCAAGTCTCGAGTCATCGAGTGAACAGCATTGGATCAGCAGTCAGCAGACTATTCAACAAATTCACTCAATAACACAGATTCATTCAGTAATGAAACATCAGGAGCCAACTGTTGCTTCACTACATTGAGAACAAGGATGAAAAATATAATATTTGTGCACTGGCCAGTGCTGATGTCAATCATTCGAAATCACCTTAGTCATTGAAAGGATACTATGACAAAGATATTGCTTTCCTCGGTGAACACAGCAAAGAATGAAAGCTCTATCAGACCCATGCTCAGAACACGCATGCTCAGTGGAGCTTTCCCACTCTCTATTTTACATAATACCCTATAACTGTAAATACTGTAGCGCAGCCCAAGCCATCATTGGTAATTATAAAGTGGCATTTTAGAATTAGTAACAGAGACTTGCACCTGTTTAAGTATCAATGTTTTTTTTGGAATCTGTGATGAAAAAAGGTGGTTTCACACACAAGAGTTTTTTAAGACTCTCTTTGGGTTTTCCTTATTTATTTACTTGTACGTTCTTGTTCCATCATACAGTTGTATAAAAACAGTATCAAACACACATTTATGTAATTGCACTCCTGCTCATGTAGCACATATGTGTGAACAGTGTATTGTGCAGTTTATTGTATTGCATAGTGTCTATTGAACATTTTCTATCCACTCATCCATCAAAGAACTTCAAAGCACATCACCTTGTGGTGATTTTATTATTATTATTATTATTATTTTGTATTCCTCCAATCTTAACATTCATTTTAAATAAGTAAAAGGATCTGCTAAAAGGGCAAATTTATGTAAATGTGTCCAAAAATGTATTTTATTAACAATCATTCAAACATGGTTATGGAGACATACTAAGACACCCCAGCCCCCTTCCCCTTCCCTTCTCCTCCCCTTCCCTCCCCTATCTCTTCATTATCAACCAGTTTGCTGTCATCTTGCTTGCATCATGTGCTTGTAAAGTGAAAAATTAGTTTACCCTGAGGCAACATCATGTAAGAAACACTTAATGTTATGCAGCAAGTTCAAACTGTTTTTGTTCCAAATATTTATTCAAGGTAGCACAATAATTCTGTCTTAATAAATCAGATTAATTAGAATGCTTTGCTAAGAGAATAACAGTAAATATAAATTGTTCATGCTTTTTGGACTAATGTCAAAGCTTTCAAAGCACTCTATCACCATTTCCGTATTGTGTATATATTAGATGGAATGAATAAACAAAATAAGCAAAACCATGCAATGGAAAAGAAAGCACCAAATATGTAGGTATATTGTTTATGAAATGCAATTTATAGTTTACAATTTACATATGACTCAAAACACAGCAATCTTAAAACTTAAATCATAAAACTTAATCTAGGCCTGGTGCAGGTCAATGAGGCGCAACATAACAGCTACAGTTATTAACATGAACACAGCTGGTATTATATAATAGTTATGCAAGTGCAGATCTCATATCCACAGGTTGTGGGTGGAGGTGTTTTTGTGAAAGGCTGGAGAGATGTGATTTCCCAAAGGAGAGGAGCGTTTTCACAGACTACACTTATTACAGCTCCATCTATTACTCCCAGTTGTATGTCCGGTTGGCATGAAGCTCAACCTCAAAACCACTGCAGATTAAGACCCCAGGAAAGTATTTTATTCATACATGGTATTTGAGGATGTATTTGCAGTTTTTTTTTGTTAATTGTTAATTGGACAGGCCACACAAGTATGGTATCAACATTGAATTAAATTCTTCCTTTTGCCCTAGAACTAAAATGTGTTTTAAATGAGTCTTTTTTTTTCATGAATTCCATTTTATAGTGTTCCTATAAAATGGAATTCAGAAAAAAAAGAGACTCATTTAAAACACATTTTAGTCATTCCCAAGGCAGACCATTTGATCTCCGTTTTTCCCAGGTAATTGGCAGTTATGTAAATGTCTATGAATCACATTTAGTCTGTAGAGAGAGCTCTAGAGAAAAACCATCTCATCTCATGCCTATTCCCAGAGCAATCGTCCAGAACAATTGGCAATGCAATATAGGATCTTGCATTCTCCACTTTTTTATCTTCATCTGTAGCTATCAATACAATCCAGCTCATTGCTCAGTGAAATCTAAAGCATTTGCAGTATTGAAGGTGTCTGGAAGGAGAAGAGCATGAGAAAAAGGCATGAGCTGGCTCTGGCTGATAAAGAAAAATATCACTTCATTTGCATTGATGGTGACGTTCAATGTATTGTATGTTTTTATTCCTAATGTTTGTAGAATAAGCTGCTAAAATGACAAAAAAAAACTGTCTTTGGTGAATGTCAAAGTTCAGCTCAAATGCATGAAAAGCAAATGTTAATGCCAGTGTCTGATATTTACATGTTCCAATAGCATGCATTGTAGGAATATGTTACAATTATATTTTCTACATTTCCTTGTAGTGACTTAGAATATAATTCAACTATTTTAATATTTCTTATTTAAAAACTAAAATTCAGACAGTCCTTTAGCGATATGGATTCAAAGGTAACGAAAAAAAATATGATGCTATGCAATTCAATATGGTACAGATAGTTTGCTTTTATTTCTTTGGTTCAGAGAGACAGCCATGTTATTCTATATTCTATGTGACTCTCAGGACACGCCTATATTCACGTAGCAGCAGTGGTGATGAGAGAACGTGCTTGACAAACAGTTTGGAGAGGAGAAATCAATCTACATATAAAATATTAGTCACAAATTATTGACTACTTTCTAAATAATACAGTATAGTGCATCTACTAATAATGATATATATGTATACAGTGGGGAAAAAAAGTATTTAGTCAGCCACCAGTTGTGCAAGTTCTCCCACTTAAAAAGATGAGAGAGGCCTGTAATTTTCATCATAGGTATACCTCAACTATGAGAGACAAAATGAGAAAAAAAA